AGAAATGCGAATTTAACGGATTTATCAAATCAAACAGCTACAAAACAGAAACTCTCTAACAAACAAATATGTTAAAATTTCTATCAAACGTAATTTCATTCTTTCGTCCTTGTTAGGCGCAAACTCATCTCTATGTATCCTTTTAGGCTCGAACTCATCTCTTTAACTTCCTTTTAGGCGCAAACCTCATCTCTTTGACAAAATTAATGCATTATTCTGTCTTTATTTACACACTTGGATAACACTATTAGATATGATAAATCGATCAACATTTAACTATAGACTATGTATAAATAATAATATTTTTTCTAAGTAACACCTTTTTTGGCTAATGATAAGCTAGCATATCTAGAAAATTTTCTAAAGATTCTACCGCTTTACAAAAATCCACAAAAAAAAAAAAAAAATTCCTCAAATGTTTCTTTACTTTATTGAAAAACTTGTTCGATGTGACTAATGTAGGAGAGTACGGATTGTCCACCAAAATTCGTAAATGTTAACGATAAGAAATCAATGAAATGAATTCGACGTCAAAAAAAAAAAACATCAATGAATTATGGATGCATAATGCATTGATGAATCTGTTTTTTTTACATGATGTAATATACATTATTTTCATATAAACTGTGAATAATATATATACACGTTACCACACTTTGAATTGTTTTAATACATCTATATGATGTATGTTGGGGAGTAACATCTAATGGTACGATGCACTTTGGTTAACTAATCAATCCCCCGATAACAGCCATTGGGCGAAAGTTTGGATCCTAAATGGATTAAGCAAAGCTTAGCCAAGATCTTGAGATGGCCATCGATCTCAAGTAGCCGGTATATATCCCAGAGCTCCAAACAATATCATGTAAATAGCATAATATGCCGTGTATCGCTTTTCTATCAAAATAACTATTAAATCATTGTCGGTTGACCATCTTGATAATCTTTAATCTAACATGGAATTAGAGTCCAAATTTGTTGATCCAAAGAAATAGTCCAATTTTTGTTGTTGTTCATGTTCTAGAATGGAATTCGGTTCGATATAATCTAATATTAACCCAAAATTTTATGATGATATCAAATTAGCTGTAAAATATACTCTCAAATTTGGGTTATACACTTATTTTTGTTTATTTTTAATGCAATACACTTTTCTACACACTCTTGTTAATTTATATAAATTTGGGTTATACACTTATATAAATCAAATTGATATATGAAAATTTCTTAGAGATCACTTTTTGCCGAATATGGAGAGGCTCAATTCAACTTTGATGTAATTTTTCAATGGAAGCATGTGATCCACTACTCTTAACGTGGGGTTTCCTATATATCTACACAACAGACGTAAAAGAATAGCAATAAATGAAAAGCAACTCGAAGATTTTATTTAGAATCCATCTCAAGATTTATCATGGCTTTSAATGGTGGCAAACATTTGAATTTGTTCAATGCGCTTCAACTGTTTTCACCATTTGCAAACCGTTCGATGCATTCAGCCGCACCAAAGTGCTATCAACTTCATAACTGTTTTTTTTTTTTTCAATATCTAAATAATTAAGACTTAATCAAACAATTTCTTTCTTTAAAACAAAAAAAAAGAAGTTAAGATCATTCTAGTTGAGAACCATGATTGTCAACAAAACCTGCCGTGTACCATACATATTTTATATAAAAATTGGCACATTTGCATAATTCTAACTTATTATATAGGATTATGTATATGGAGAAAGTTTAAAACTTTTGGTTTGATTAATAATATCGTTAAAGTAGACTAGGTTTTGTCATGAGAAAAGTTCATAATCACTTATTGTATAGAAGATAACTTAAAGTATAAAATGTGTATTTTGTGGACCAACTATTATAGACTATTAACTTCAAAAAATTCGATGAAACATAAAAAAAAAAAA